TGGGGGATTGAACCGCGGTCCCTGATGCTTTGCCAAGCTTGTTCTAAGTAGGTGCCTTAGACCACTGAGCCATCTCTCCAGCCCCAGTTCTGGATTTCTTAATTTAGCTAAATGTCAGATTTAAAGCTCAGATTTAAATTAGGAGAATATATTAAAAAGGCATATATAATAATGATCAGAAAGAGATGTGCACTGGAGGCATTACATGCCAACTTTCTTGATAAAATTTTTAGTTATTTTTCTTTCAGGTTTAATTAGTTTTTAATACTTTAAACTAGAAAAGTTTACATGCTATCATAAATGTCATGGCTTTTCAGTAAAGAACTTGTTTATGAGAGCATTTTGAGGCCCTGTTATCTTGGTTTTTAAAAACAGGCAAATATCTTATGAGAAAACTTTTGTCTCTATTTTGGATCTCTTGATGAACTATTTTACTTTAAAGGGTAATGTTAAAAACTCTTTTGTGAGGCCAGGGAGATAGCTCAGTAGAATAAGCACTTGCCGGGCCTAAGATCCCCAGTTCCACACACACACAAAAAAAAACCAACAACAAAAAAAAAACTTTTCGCTAGGCACAGTAGGTACATACATAATCCCAACTACTTGGGAGGTTGAGACAGGAGACTGAGACCAACCTGGGTAACTGTGAGATATTTTCTCAACTAACCAGTCAGTCAACAAATAAATAAATCTTTCTTGGGAAGACAAGGAAGTTGCCAATTCTGGGAAATTCTTAGCACAGAGTTCTTTTATTCCAAAATCATTCATCAGAATAATACCTTGAAATGAATAAATACAAATATGTAATTTACAAAGGTAACTATTGCATTAAAATACATTTATTAAAATATTGACATTTGAGTTATAATAGTAATGTATGTTTCTTAATAGTCATATTAGTAACGTCTGGCAGTGGGCATTGATGACTGTAATTTTTTTTATCAGACTGGAAATTAGACTCAGGACCTCGCACTGTTGTCAGGCAGGCACTGTGCTGCTGAGCTATATTCCTGGCCTGAATTATTTTAAATAAGTATTTAACATGACTGATATTTTTTGAGCTATTATAAAAATTATGATTATAAATGCTACATTTTATTTAGAGAATAATGAAGATGTCTTTCATCACCCAAGTTTACAGATTCTCTGAATTCTAAGAATTTCTTCAGTTGGCTTGTAGACCCCCAGATCAATATTTTATAGTTTCAGTATTTTGTTAATTAAGGTTATCTTAATAAATAGCTTTCAGCAAATTGAGCACTAGACTGGAACATGTAGTGAATTCTCAGTGATCTTTCTAGTTATAAAAGAACTTTAATTTAGCATTTATACTTCAGTGATAAAAGATGTCCTGGTCAAAATGAAAATATTTAATCTTTTTTTTTGCGGAACTGGGGATTGAACTCAGAACCTTGCACTTGCCAGGGAAGCGTTAATTCCACTGAACCATCTCCCTGGCCCCGAAAATATTTAATCTTTAATGAAGTATTTATGAAACTTGAATTCCTTAGAGTTCCATGAACATAAATGCTGTGATTTTTTTCCCCTTAAGCTTAGTAAATTTCAACCAAGAATAGAAAACAATGTTTGAGGCGTCACTGAATGAAGAATTTCTTGACATTTGCTTTTATCACAAATATTTCAGTTAGTAACTGAGTTGATTTAAAATGCTATTGCATTTAGTAATTGTTGGCTTTAGAATACATTGTTATCCCAATCTCACAAAAATTTAAGGTAACTGTGAAACACCCTAAATTTATCTTACTGCTTTCACTTTACTATTCCATTTAATATTACTCTGTACCCTAAAAAGTAAAAATAAATCTTATTTCTAGGAGAAAAACTTTGACTGTCTTTTTGAAAAACTGAGCATATTACTTATTTTATTAGTGTATTGCAAATTAATATTTGATTATTAATATTTTCAAAGTAATAATCATTATTAAAGGCTGCAACATCAGACACAAATATATACTAGTCATTACTTTTACAAGTCTTCCATAAAATAACAATGATAGGTTAAATAAAATAACATAAAATAACAATGAGAATTTCTATATAAAGAGGATTTGATTATGACTTGTTTTCAAGTAACCCCAGATTCCTTTGGTAAAAATGTATTTGAACATTCTTCCATCTTAAATAACATGCTTATTGTTTTCATAAAGGCCACTGCTCTTTGTGGGTCCAACGGGTACGGGAAAATCAGTGTATGTGAAGGACAAGCTGATGAATCACTTGGAAAAGGACCAGTACTTTCCTTTTTATATTAACTTCTCTGCACGGACCAGTGCCAATCAGGTTCAGGTTAGTTGAAAGCTAGAAACATGAGTCTATGATTATTAACTTGTTTCTATGATAATTACTGAAAATTATGTGTGAAATGAGCAACTATGTGAATCTGTAAATTTACAGAAAATGTTTTTACATTCATAGTGAATAATTGAGCTCTGTTGCTTTTTTTCACCTGAGATGAAGCAATGATTAATGTCTTAACTGGAGAAGGGGGCCTAACACACACACACACACACACAACACACACACACACACACACACACACACACACACACCCAAGAGTGTTTGAGTTGGAGCTGAGCAAACTTTTCTTTGTCCTTTCTGGAGTCTACTGTATGATCTTTGGGAGCATTTGCTGCTCACCGGATCTTTGTACCAGAGACATGTAACGCTATATCTCACCTTTTGCCTCTAGATGTAACAAGATGAAAGTACTTCAGGAGCCCTTTTCTAATTGTCATATTCAGCATTCATTTCCTCATTTGTGCTCCCCTCATTTCTATTGTTTTAGTCCTAGGAATTTCTTTAACTTCAAAATCTTCCACATTTAGAGCTTTACTGCAGAGTTTTATGTGAGTGAAAATAGTTTCAATATTAATTTTTGTAATGCACAAATGAGTTCCAAAAATATCAGAAATATGAGAAAACATTCATTTATGTCAGCTATAAGAAGTTGCTGAAATTTGTAAAGATTAATGTTTTTAAGTATTAAAAAGTTAATGTTGAGATATCCAATGAGAAAATGATATACTATAGAATTATGTGTGTGTGTGTGTGTGTGTGTGTGTGTAGAATAGTAATGTAATATACAAATATTTGTGTGATAATTTTGGGTACCAGAAGGATTTCAATAAATGCTCTTTGAATGATGTTTTGTATAAAGTTTAGTTATTACCCTAAACATGAATGAATAAGGATAAACACGTACATAATGTTGCTTTGCATTCTTTCTTACTAACATTGTTAAACTTCTTTTCTTTTCTTTTTTTCTTTGGTGATACTGGGGATTGAACTCAGGGTCTTGTGCTTGCCAGGGAAGCTCTTATTCCACTGAGACATCTTCCCGGCTAAACTTACTTTCTTTTCAGTGTTAAACATGGCTTTTATGTTAAATTAGTCATTAATAAATTAAGCAAATGATAGCTGCTACAGATAAAAAAAAAATCCCATGGATACTGACAACATAAGTCTTTCTTTTTAATATTTATTTAACATAAGAAAAGATAATAATTCATAGTACAAATATAGGTAAATATATCATTCTTTCTTTTTAAAAATTTAGAATATTATTATGGCCAGATTGGATAAAAGACGCAAAGGAGTTTTTGGACCACCTATGGGCAAGAAGTGTGTAATTTTTATAGATGATATGAATATGCCTGCATTGGAGAAATATGGAGCTCAACCTCCCATTGAATTATTACGACAGTTTTTTGACTGTGGACATTGGTAAATATTTAACCGACGTCTTAAAAAATCATGTTGAAGTTGGATCTCATATTTTACATTTCAATTTTTTTTAGAGCAGAACAAGTATTTCCCACGATATTTAGGGAAAATTCATTATGTATATTTTTCTATAGAGATTTTTGAAGAGATTTTCTATATATTTGTTTTGTGAGATGAGATCTTGCTATGGTGACCAGGCTGCTCTCAAACTTATGTGCTGTAGCAATTGTGTCACCTGGCAGTATCTGGGGCTACAGGTACACATCTCTGCATCGAATTTGTGCGCGCGCGCGTGTGTGCATGTGTGTGTGTGTGTGTGTGTGTGTGTGAAGTTCTCTATCTCTGAGATACACACTTGGTACGTCTATAGCTTTCTCTTTAAATATTATTTTTGTAACAGAGTGTTATTTATTTATTATGAACACAATAAATTGAGGGAGGCATAGAGATTTTCTGTATATCCCCTGCACCTACAAATTTGTAACCTCCTCCACTTTCAAACTGTCTATCAATGTGGCACATTTTTTTCAACTGATGAACATCATTATATCATAGTCACCCAAAGTCTGTGCGCTAGGATTTGCATGGTGTCCATCTTCTGCACTTGGAAAATGTGTAACATGAACCCCTCAATATAAAATCATCCAGTGTATTTTCACTTACCTAAAATGCTCTTATCTTTTTCCCCTTCTAGACCCTGGCTGCCACTGATCTTCTGACTGTGTTCATAGTTTAGCCTTCTCTAGAATGTCCTACTGTTTGTCAGCTTTCTGTTGTTCTATCAAATATGTGAACTAATCAACTAAAAAGAAAGCATTTCATGTTCATAGCTATGGAGATTCCAGCCCAAAATCAAGAGGGCCACTGCTTTTAGAATTGTGGAGAAGCAGGCTCTCATGCCTCTTCATGGCAGTCTACCCTATGTTGTAGGGTGCATTTTTATTTCCTTTTACTCAGCCCATACTTTCTCTGCAGAGCTTATTTCTTCCTCTGCCCTCTGCATTTCATTCTACCTTTAACAAATATGAAACTTTGCCAACATTAAAAAAAAAAGCATTTTGAGAGGCAGTGTAACATGACAAGGGAACACATAGGAAGAAAAAATCACTCATCTCATGGTTGGGAAGCAAAAGTGAGGAAAAAACTGGGGTCTCCAGGCCCCTTAGAGGGCATTCCCAAATGACCTAAACACCTGTAAAGTATTCTCCCACTCTGTGGTTTGTCTTCTCATTCTCTTGGCACTGCCTTTCAAAGAGCAGAAGTTTTAATATTAATAGAGTCCAACGTCTCAATTATTTCTTTTACATAACATGCCTTTGAGGATGTATCTTTATATCGTGCCCAACATAATCTAGATTTTCTATGTTACATTGCAGGAGTTTTGCATGTAATACATTATAACATATAACCTTGTGTTTTGCAGTTAATATTTAGGTTGTGATCTACTTTGGGTGAGTTGTTGTAAAGGGTGTAAAGTCTGTCTAGATTTTTTTTTTTTTTTTTTTTTTTTTGCTTATTCATAGCCTATTTTCCCAGCACCATTTCATCTGTTGAAAGACTACTTTTGCTGGGCCTAGGAGCTAGCCCACTCGTTTTGATCAAAGATTTCAATATTAAAGGACTTGATGGCCTGTTAAAAATAGTCCTTTTTTTACTCTGAGTAGTTCCAATTAAATTGTATCAGATACACACTTCTGACTACAATTGTGAAGCCTGTCCCTGTCTATGTAATGAAGGTGCTATTTAAACACCCTTCAGCACTGCAGAGATTAGGTTGGAGGTGAAGCAAAGAAAATCAGGATTGACCATAATCAGGGTAACTGTAAACTTCGTTGTTCACTGAGAACAAAAGGTAGGTATTTTTTATTGCAGAAAGCACAAAGCAGATGGTCTTCAGTAAAATGGAGCATATAGTCATCCTGCCTATATCGAGCTGCTGTAGCCGTTCATCTGTGCTTCTCTGCATTTGAAGAAAGAGAAGGAAAAGTGGGCAAATTAGAAAGAATAGGAGGAAAGCAAAGGAAGGGCAAGAAGAAGGGACAGTCTAGACACACAGCATCGGAATAATAGAAATAGTGTCACTAAGTGAGAAATAGTATTCTGTTTGAAATAAAAAAATTCTCTTGAAACATTATCTAAGTTCCTTTCATGGAAGCTACACGAAGGTTATGTTTCTAGGGATATCTATATTTCATTCCATCTTATTTTCTCGATAACAGATTGTTTAAATTTTTTGTATGATTTCAAGGTACGACCTTAAGGACACAAGCAAAATCACACTGATTGATATCCAGCTGATTGCTGCGATGGGCCCTCCAGGAGGTGGAAGAAACCCAGTCACGCCTCGTTTTATTCGACATTTCAACATTTGCACTATTAATGCTTTTAGTGATGAAACAATGGTCCGAATCTTCTCCTCCATTGTGGCATTTTACCTTAAGGTTCATTTATTTCCTCCAGAGTATTTTTCAGTTGGGAACCAGATAGTCAGTGGGACAATGGAGGTAAGCAAATAATGCGCTGCAAAGTGTTTTGGTTTTATAAGTTACCCACATTTATCCCTTTAAAAAATACTTTTATTAGTAAAAGTTTGTAGGACATGATGATTGCAATTATCGTAGGGCGTTGGCACATGTACATAATAAATACATCTTAAATTTTTTTCTTTCATCTCCTGCCTCCATCCCTGCTCCTTCCAATTCTTGGTCCCCTTCCCATGTACAAAAGGTTTATCTTCATCTTTTTCCTCTCTTCTTCTTCTTCTTCTTCTTCT